CAGCTGATCAGCTTATTTCTCAAAATAAATCTCTTACGGCATCTCTAGGGTAGTGAGATGGTGAGTGTCAAACAGGATCTTTTTCATTTGTTTGCATTAAAATAAGGGGAGCTGTTTAATTTGCTACTATGGAATATGGATGAATAAAATAAAATAGTAAAATAGGCGTAAAATGTGATAATTTGTTAATCAGTAAATGTATTACGTGCTAACGAAGTAGGTACGAATGGTAAAAAAATAGCCTCTCACAAAGGAATGCAAAAATCAAAAGCGACCCCGACAACAACTTTCAAAGGTGAAAATCCGGGCGCGAAAAATCACTAGCGACTACAGAAGTAATTACCCATTGGATGCACGCTCAGCAGTCGTATATCTCAGCTGGATGCGAATTTTACGAGTTCGTTGAAAAAAATCGCTCCAATTTGGTAGTGGGCGATAAATCTCACGCTGAAAGTGGATAGTCGTCATTAGTACCGGTTTTAAGCACTGTTACTCGTGTAGTCAGAATTGAATTTCGATAGTTTGGATTGGGGCAAAACTTTGCCGGTCTGGAAAGTTTAACGTAATTATTTTGAATATTAATCATCGAGTATTAAAATTTTAGGTAAGTTTGGATAAAGTGAGTACCTCTATATAAAACTATAAGAAATTTTAACGGGTTTTTACTCACAGTAGTAGGGTTATTTTGAGCACCCAATATTTTGGCGATGTTACAGTCGCTCCAGTTTACCCGTGATCATGGCGATTCTATTAAGTACCATAGGTATCGGAAATAAAAATCGGGCCCTGTTTTTTATTCTTGCGTGCTGCTTTACAATTTTTTTTCGTTTCGTCCACGCCATCAGTCAAGATCAAGAAACGTTCCCCCGACTGTTCATTTCATCTGATGCAGTCTAATGAAAATAAAAGAAAATGTAAATTAACACGAATACCTCCGCCCATAGGATCATAAATACGGAACGTCCGCCAAGAGACCACTCAGCTTCCCGGCCAAGATTGTAGGCTCCGCAGCGAATTAAACTTGTAATTACTGTGATTGCCTCGCCGTACATTCAATAGTTGCGGAAGCAGGAAATTCTAAGAATGTGGCAGTTAGAAAATTATACTTAAGTTGCGGAACTTCAAATATTTTTAGGAGAAGGACATGAATTTCAAAAAACGCAGCTCTTTACTCGCCGTACACTCAAAAGATGTGGAAGAACAAAATTCCAAGAATGTGGCAGTTAACATTTTTAAATAGTTTCAAACTACCGTCGTTATATTTTATCTTTATCTACCTCTTAGAACCTTGGTAACAAAATAGCTTATGCTCGTATGCCAACTTAAACGAAATACAGCTCCTACAATAAGATATTGATAAAACCTTTTTCACTTCTTGATTACTTTCAATCCAGAGTTACGTACGATAAATAGTTTAAAGCGAATGAATACCTGGTTTCAGCACACTCAATAATGAAGCTGTACAAAATCCAGCGGAATTTTGCGTGTGATGTTGCGTCGTACTGCCGAAAATGCACATTAAGAAACACATTAAATGTGATTCCAAATACCGCATCCAAGGATTACAACTCCCGGCACAAAACAGCTTGAGGCCAAGCTCTGTGAAGAAGTATAAAACGGCGCGTCAAAGATAAATTGGATTTCGGATTTACTGAGCCTGACCCTAGAGTAGTTTAGATTAGCTTGCCGACTGAGATAGGAACTCCGAATTATTGGCATCAAAGAACTTCGTAATGGAGTCCACAGAGTGAAATATGGAATTTTGGGTAGATATTCGATTGTGATTTAGAAAATTGATCTAGTCCGTCTCCATGCATAAGCAACATTCAGTTCATTATTTCTCAATAACTCCATATTTTATCTTCTTAGCAACTTTTATTTTTCTTAAAATAGTTTTAAATCAGAACCTTGGTTAGGTATATTAGTAGTTTAACTAAATACGGCCCATTTGTTTTATTATAAGTAGTTTTATAAAAATAATTCTTTTAAACTTATCCTTAAACAGTATAAAATAATATTTTTGATATGCAGTGAACGTTGAAAACTTTTAACCTAACCTAACCCTGAGTCAAACGGGTTACTCAAGGGCTTTCACTAGAGCGCTTTGCTTTCATCCAACGACGATTACTAACGGAAACATTAGGGGGTTCAAATGTCACCCCTAAATCCCTGGGACGTTCGTCCCGGTGGCCCCGTGGCCGCTTCGAGTAGCCTACAAATGACCTATATTTGTTTTCGAGGACTCTCGTTCACGTGATATGTTGGGCACTGCCATTGTCGTAATAGCACTCTATTCGAGTTTGCTTCACGATATATTTTTTGTGTGCGACCTCTCGGGAATCGGTTTGCATTTCAAAAAGCGACAAGTTTTTATCATCGGCTTTGAACAATAGCTTTGATTCTATTGCCTGAATCGTAAGAGAATCAAAGCTTTTGATGGTTCCGGATACTCCGATGCCAAAATGCTTTGAAGACCATCATGCGAATGAAAACTGCAAAAGGATGAAAGGTCAACCCAAAGTACCCACACATGCTTGATTTTGTACTGTAGAGGCTCTAGACGAGAATCACTTGGCTCGTTTTGCTAATACAGGGCTAGATTACTTTAGCCCTGTGACACAACGCTTGGAAAGGAAAACCTGTTGGTCGCTATACTTACCTGCTTAGTGAGAAGAGCGACCTTATTATTATGAAAATATTTGCAAGCCTTTTAACGCACTGCTATCTTATACCTACGCCGCTTGGCGATTACTGTCTTTGAATTTTTATTCGGACCCTCATCAAAGCAGTCTTGGTTAGCTAAAGATTTCAACAGACTTAGGTGACTCCGGTGACAATCATTTTGTTATTCATTTATGTTGCATTGTTTATAGACTAAATCAAAGGAGCAGACTGCATTTTACAACAAATATGTTAGGAAGAAAATTGTGTAGACTAGATGCAGTGCTACTTGCGCATTTTTCCAACATGACAGCAAGTTAGCTAATACAAAAGCTATGAAATTTCAGGAGCAAAAACAAAACAATTCTATACATACATTTCTATAACAATAAAATAATTTCAAATTAACTTATAAAAATATGCCTTTGTGAGTAAATTAAATAAAACTCTTTAGTTGAATCCTCCAAAAATTGTAATAAAAATAAGTTGCTTAATTAATTCCCGTGCAAAATAAAACTCAAGACTTTTCCAGCAAAAATGTTTCAAATTGAATTAAATCTGGCGCAATTGAAACTGTCGGCTAAATTAGCCTGGAGGAGAGAAAACGCGTTAAATTGTTTTATTATCATACTTTTTCTCATAATTTGTCATGATTTCTGTTCCTGATTGTAATGAATGAAATTATAGACACGTCTGTCTAGTTAGTAATTTGAATTTGCATGAATTTTGGTTTTTATTTGCAAATGATTTATCAATAAATAAGTATTTTTCTTTATTCGCAGCTTCCGAATTCAATTCATAAATTGCAGATAGAAATGGGACAAACATCGTATATTTTATTTTCTAAAATGTAAGACAACCTTTATCCAATCTCTTTATCAGGAACTGGTACAATTCAAGCTTGACATACGGCTCTAGGACTGCAGCAACATATCACTGTCTAAAGTTTCCACTTAAAATAGTTTTAAAAACTTCCAAACTCCAGCCAAAATAGATAACGTCGATTTACGGGAAGGATGAAACTAATGGGTGCTCTTGGGTAGTCTTGATTGTAATTTTCTTGAAATTGGATAATTTCATTTGAAATTGTGAAGTATAAATACAAAAATAATAATTTAATACCTATTCAACAGTTATTTCAGTTGCAAAATAATCGTTCACTGAAGACAGAGGCTGAACGTTTTAATAACTTTGGAGGTAGGTTAGGAGAAAGCTCCTTATGAAGACGAGATAGTCCTGTCGTGAGGATATGAATTTGTAATAGGATTAACTGCAGTGGAAAAACTGGATGTGGGTACTTTTCTTGTATGAATGTGACTTCGAAGAGAAGACTCGCTTAAAGGGAATTCTGAACCGTGAAACAGCTGATCAGAGCATGAGCTATGATACCTAAGGTTTTTTTATTGGTGCATTTAAGGTATTCATCAGGAAGAGTTTACCATGTTTATATCTTCTGGGCGAAATTTTCAAGGACCACAGGCAATATAACGGTAAACTATACATGTGCCATATTTATGGGAAAATGCACCCTGGGCTGTTGATTAAATACAATGTTCGTCATAGGTTTTTAGGATGGCGTAGACATTAGCAGAACAATACTCCTCTTATGCGTTTAAAATTTAGTTATTCGACAAAATAATTGCAAATACTTCATTTGCATAATGAAACTAGTCGAGAAAAAATACATCTTTAAAACACAACTAAAACAGAAAATATGGCGTACATGCAGTTAATCTTAATGGTTAACATACCATCAAGCGCAATGTACAGCGCTGAGAAAAAAGAAACTTCTTGACTTACCTAGTGACTGATTGATTATTAATTAACAGGGTGTTAGTTTAAATTATAAAGAATGCCGTAAAAATATTGAAAATAGTCCTTAAAATTACATAAAGTTGTTGCTTATAGAGTAACAATAATATAGTTACTTTCGTCTTTGAGTTTGTGCAAATTCCAAAATTTGTAGAAACTCGAAAGTTAATTTCATCCATTAACTTTGAATTTGTATGAATTTTGGCTGAAGTATAGGTATTTAAATCAAGTATTTACTAAGGCAAAAAAAAAATTGAAACCTAGTAGTACGCTTCAATTTTATTAGTAGGTTTTACTTTAATACAAAAAGGGTTACAGCTTTACACACATTATTTGGGAAGAAAACATGTTATTACGTTTGTATCAATAGGTCAAAAACAGGCATCACTCATGAATCATGATAAGTGAAAATAAGAAATAGAAAATATGACATGCATCGACCGGGGATCGAACCCGGGCCGCATGGGTAAACGCCCTCGCTTGGAGACGAGCATCAAGAGATAGAAAATTTGGCGTTCATCGGCCGTGCATCGATAGCTCAGTGTGGCAGAGCGGTGGGGCGTTTACCCATGCGGCCCGGGTTCGATCCCCGGTCGATGCATGTCATATTTTCTATTTCTTATTTTCACTTGTGAGAATAATATAGCACTGTGAGTGCATTACAATCCCAATAGATCACTCATGATTGTGATATCACCATAATAGGGAAAATTTCTAAAATAACCTCATTCACCTTTTGACTACCCAACCAGAGGTATATACCATTATAGCACACTATGATAATTATTTACGAGTCGAATTGAAAGCCTTATTTTTGGAAGTCGGTTAAAAGAATAGTTGCACCTGCAGTTCCATAACTCAACGGACTATTCAAGCGGGAATCCTGGTTAGGAAACTTCAGAGGGAGCTATTCTACAACATGAAATATTGTCGCACAAACTTCCTGTAAAAAAACTTGGTGGCACAAAACCGCAGAAAGTAACGTAAATAAAGTGACACAAAAGGGGCGCTTCCCGGCCCTAACAATGACCAACCCCTTTACTGAAGGCTCGAGGACAATTTATTATAACTCTTCGTAGCTTATTTTTTGTTTAGTGGTTTCTGTTTTCGTCCCGGCACTCTGAAGATTTTATGGATTTTCGACTAGCGTCATCAAGGTTCCTTTTCACTTTAATAAACCTTTTTTATTATTTAGGTACCCAACCCTTAAGAAAAAGTCACCTTCAACCTTCTCCTTTTTCCTTTATCGAATCAATGGGCAAAAACTAAATTTTATTAGACCGACATATTGACACATTGACCGCCCGACTGTTAGTTAGTCCCCAGAAAGTCCTGCAAACCGCAAGTTCTAGGGTAGTTTAGGAAAGCGAGAAGGTGAGCCATTGTTTGCTCTACACTGCAATCACACAAATAATTGTCGGAGAAACCCCACTCCATTCAAAACAATAAAGTTTTTATTTGTCTATCTCAACTGCACTGAGCTTAAACCTTTAGAATCCTAGTCAGCAACAATAACATCACAAAGCTAAAGCTTTCCCAACTAAACTACATAAATATTCAGTTTGGGCCCTTTACAAAACTACTAACAATTTTCCCAACAACATAAACATATAAATAAATACGCAATGAGCAAACAGAGGGACAAAAGGTTAATCCCCGTGTCCACCTCGGATTACGCGACCGTGCCGCGCCCGCTAAATAATTAATAGCTCATTTATATTTCAATTTACTAGATAGGGATTCTCATTTCGCTAAGTAAATAGTTTTTGGTTTGTTGGTAGTTTGAAAACGAAACAATAACGAACAATTTATGCGCATAAATTGAAATTTATTTGGAACGATTTGTAGTGATATACAGGGTGAAATTTAACTAGTGACCGATAGTAAAAACTCAGAACCAGCATATGATAAGGAACAATTTTCCCCAAGGAACATATATCGAAATATGAAACAAATTAGACCTCAATAAAATTATAATAAAACGCTTAAAAGACCATGGACATTATTTTAAACCAAAGTAGGTAATTAAAAAATCAATACCTAAGAAATAACGAAATCATTGCGACTTATTATGGGTATTAAGTTTTTTACATTGCAGGAAGTACGAAACTAAACCCTTAGGTGAGTAATAAAAATTGAACAATGTGAATTCCAACACAACGCTTTCCTAAAGCAATTTTAGCAAAGTCATTACTGCAGTCAAAGGGTCACCGGATTAAGTACACAGTGGTCCCTTTTATGTTGGCTTTGTTTTATTAGAAACCCGTGATGATAAACCCGAAAATTCAAAGCACCTTCATAATATGCCAGGAGTCAAAAAATATTTGTATACAAGATTTCAAGGGGTGACCCAATACGCTAGTTTTTATTCTACGAAAAACAAAGGTAAGTTTTAACTTTTGTATCTCGTGGAAAATATAGAACTCTGTCATTTGATACTCATTATACCGGGAGTAACAGAAAGGGTCTATCAAGCCGAAAGGAGGTCAAGGTACTTATGAAACTGAACAACTTTCACTATGAAACATTTCAATAAAAGGTCGAAATATGAAAAAAAAATGTTACCTCCCATAGTAAATCAATCACCAGACCGCCAATTTTTTTTTTCATATTTGACGACCCATGTTCCATGGGAAAAGTTGTTCAGTTTCATGTCATGAGTAGCTTGACCTCCTTTCGGGTTGTTATACCTTTCTGATACTCCCTTTACAAAGCGAGGTTTTTTGATAATGACGATTTTTACAGCTCGTGCAAGATGATTATAAAAGTTGTTGCTGTTGCTTGAGGTATTTCTTGAAAGGGTAACCAAGCACACCGACTAATTGCCGACCAAGGAAAACGAAGCAATAACGATCAATTTATCAGCTTTAATAGGTCTGTGAAACACCAAAATAACTACCGTATGGGGTGTTACCGTGTGGGGTGCAGATTAATGTAAAAAAATAGTCGAACGAACGGCTTTTTTCAACATTGTGTACGGGGTTCTTTAAACATTACCTACTCTAAACTTTGCCGCCTTATTTTTATAAGCGGAATCGCTTTGATGTTTTTTGATTTTGTTTTTTAGAGTTACAGTCAATAAAGGTGAAAGTAATGTTTTTTTGTCCGTTGATATCTGTTTTGCTAGGCAGACTATTATCAGATCCAGTGTAGCAAATGTGGACGTTCGGCTCAGAATTTAGCAAATAAAGCTACATGAATGTCATCTAAATTGGCGGGATAAACCTACAAAAAAAATCTTCCTCTAATAAAGAACGTAACGTATGTTTTTGACAAGACAATAGTAGCCAAATGTATAGTATATCATCTGAGAAAGACTGGGAACTTTTACCTTGTTAGTCCGCCATCTATAGCAAATCAAAGAACTTTGATAGCATTCGCAACGTAGCTCCACCTATCACAAACAGTCTAAAACATTTGCCTTCCATTCATGGTAAAAGCAGCTCAGATAGTTGCTACATTTGGCAACGTGAAATGTAAGAAGTTCTTCCATGCTTGGATAGATGGAGCTGAGATGAGTGCTTGTAATTTTTGGCGCCCATCAAGGGACTAAACGCACAGTGTACAAAAAGGCAATCTCGGCATGAAATAACAAAATGTTAATTGCAAATATTTTAAGGGTCAAATTATTCCTTGAAACTGAATGTAGTTACTTTTTTACTGAATTACTGATAATCAACCCATACCCATCCGCCGCCGTCAAAAACTTCTAGTATAATAGAACACTAGCATAATAAAACTAACACTCCACCAAACTTGATCCACACTTATCCTCAATTTGTTTTTCTGTTTGTTAGGTAGGACTAAAATCATCCTCCTCTTACTCTTTGTAATTCAATTTATTGAGTAAATATTTTTTAGTAGATCCATGCTAGAATTAAATACTGTCATAAAAGGGAAACCTCAAAAATGATAATATTTTGAAACTAAATCAAAAGCAAAATCTTATTGTAAACAATTGAAAAAACGGTTATGTTAAATTTCTAATTAGTTTCAGGAAATCCTAACCGAATGAATTCAAAACCCAAAGGATTCTCTTTCTACAAAACGTCGAATAAAAGAATAATTATGAAATATAACCCACTCATTTCCCTGTAGATATTTAAATGTATACGAAGTAATTTCGCGTGTATTTTCATGTAAGCCTCGTTAAGCACCTCTCGGGAATACTATGTTAATTCACAACCCATTATCCATACAAACAAAACTTCACAACAATGGGATAAACACTCTGTAATTTGGGAAAAAATAAAAATATTTATAAAAATTAAAATTGAGAATTAATTATAAATTGAAAATGAGAACACTATGTTAACACAACCAATTATCAATACAAACCAAACTTCTCAATAATGTAATTTGGGAACATTAAAAATGTATAAAAATTATAAATGAGAATTTTATCACTTTGCGTTAACCAAAACAAAATTATAACTTTGAAATGCTATTGTTTTATTGATTGAATGATCAAAAAGTAAATATAATGCAATGCTAAATTAAAAGTACCACAAGAACTAAATGCAAAATACTTCACAGGAAAAAGAAAACATTACACTTAATTAAGAGACATTTCCCCTGAGAGGATGATAATCTACCTACAGCCGCCGAACAGCTAATATCTTGGCAAACACGTCTAAAATACAAGCGAAAGTGTAACAAATTAAATTTAAAAACGCATGATCAGAAGTGAATTAAACTTTTAATTAATAAAAGATTCGAATTCTTATTACAGATACAAAATCACGAATACAAACAATATAGAGGAAATCTCTTGCAACGTAACTTTTTATTTTTCTGTGGTTTTTCTAAGATCCAGGCTAAATGGTGAAAAAATCATAATCTCAAACCATTTAATTTGACAAAAAATACCTGAAGTATCAAAACCGGTAGAGCAGTTCCCTATATTGTATCTTGTTCCCTGTTCAATGTTGTTAGAGGACTGGATATGATTTGCGAAAAAGTTGTTTAAGCGAATATACTAAATCACTTTGAACAAATTGAAAAAGAAAAATGAAGTAGATATTGTAAATCTAAGCAAGGCAACAAAGATTGGAAATTAAGATATAAAGAGATTTGTTTGGTCGTTTGTTGGGAGTTTCCATGAATCAAAAGAATTATAATAATACGGATAAAATAATTTAAACATTCTGCAAACGTACCCATCGAAGTGGTGGAAAATAAAATCCATTTAATTAAAAATACAGTTCCTGTAAGAACTTACTAAAAATATTTTTTTACCATGATGCATGACTGCATCTACAAAAAACAAATAAGGTGTTTCATACGAAATCTTTTTGTTTGCACCACAAACAGGATTTCTAAGTGAGCTTCACTTTGACTGCGGTCACTCCCGGGGGCATCTGCCCGGATATTTTATGATAATCATCTTGTATAATTGCAAAGGTGGCTTATAATTTATGCTATTCTGCTTTTCGATAATGGCCTGGGCACTAGAGGTCTTCAAAAATGCAGGTAGTCACAGTAATGTTCCAAAAGGAATTATTTGTGTACACATACACTATTTGCGATAGCAAATAAAAATAAAAATCATAAAGATTTTTTTGTCTAAGTAAAACATTGTTTTCATTGTGATTTTTGCCT